TTTCGCACATATGTGGGTAACTGTACGGATGCCCAACCTTATCAAAAGTTAATTCTGCTCTAATGCTTTTCTCATATCAAGTGTTATAATACGAAAAAATATATACTTATATCACCCGATAAAAGTTGTTGGTTCACAAGTATAAATTAAAATTACAAGGTGATAGTGGATTTGATTTTCTCCAAATATCTTTATTCATGATTAAGGAAGGATACAACTACATGTAGAAAAGGTATTTTCAATATAGTTAGAGAGCTGAATCGCAAAAAAAATGTTGTCTCAACCTTCTGTAGCTTCGTACATCAGTAATTTAGAGCATTTTTCTTATTTGATATATCAGCGGAATCAGAATAAGGGCGAGGGGGAGAAATTGAAGAAAATCTGCCTAACTAGTTGGTTTTGACGATATAATTTACTTAAAATATTCCACATTCTGGAAAAAATAGCGGCAGAAAAAATACATGTGCCATTTTCCCATGTATGAATTTTTTTTTTTTATGTTTTCGTGGAAGATTCCCCTCCTTCAGAAGACACCCAGCCGTGAATAAAATGTGTACCCTAACCGAATTTAACACAACGGAATATCATCATCATAAGGTTGTTAGTCCTAAGAATAGTTGGGCACGCAACTCCACTCTTTTCTATCCTGAGCTAGTCTTCGCATTTCCCCAAAACTAGAACAATCAACATCCTTAACTATTTGAGAACAGTAATCTAATCTAAGTCTACCTCTACTCCTTATAACTCCTGTTTCTTCTTCTAATTAGTCTCTGACTAGACCTTCATGCCTGAGAAGGTGTCCTACCAACCTGTCTCGCTAATTTCTTATTGACTTCCATAGGGTCCTCTGTTCTACTATTCTTTCTAATACCTCTTCATTTCTAACCTTCTCTATCCACGGTATCCTCATGATTCGTCGGTAACACCACATTTTGAACGCTTCTAACCTTTTCTTTTCCGCCGCGCCAACCGTCCATGTTTCGCACCCTTACAGCGCAGCGTTCCAAATATACACCTTTAACAACCTTTTTTTTAAATTTCTAAATTAACCGTTCACGAGTATAGAAGTAAATTCTTTTTACTGAAGGCGACTTGTTTTATATCCCTACTACTCCTTCCGTCCTGACTTATCTGACTGGTACCTAAAATCGTGTGTAGTAGACCATTTTTTATTCTTTCATTAGACGTTTTAGTAATGCAACCAAAAGTTAACCATCAATATAAGAATAAACGCTTTCACGGTCGGAATCTATAGTAGAATAAAGTTTGGACAGAACAGTTCACTTAGACCACGGCCCTATAGCCCGAATCTTTATTCTACTATTAACCAACAGTCTTTTGGCAAGTTTTGGACAATTACTATATTTTAAAAAATATTCGTTTTATTGATTTACATGTTATTACTCTTTTACTTATATAGAAGATTGCAAGATGGAAAAGAATAAGGAAACAAGAAATGCGAGAAAATCAAACCTTTTTCATATTTTTCCTATTACATTACTGTCACCTTAATACCTTTGATCTAAACTGTATATACAATGCTTTTTGAACTGAATAATACCTTGACGGACACCTGACAGCGGCTGCTGGACGTTGTCTTGAAGGACAGTGAGAATAAAGCTTTGATCGTCAGCTTAATCTAAAATATACGATCATTCCCTATCCCAAAGCACACAAATGTCTTTTACCTACGAAGAACCGTAGATGCGCAGAACATTATTACATATGTGATAATATTTTTCATGAGAGAAAATTATTGATGCAAATTACAAAAACTGCTGTTATTTTATATAATATCTGAAAAAGGCTATACTAATGCATGATATGACAAGTTTAACATAAAACTTCGATCACAATGTAATAACATTGTCATTCGTGAAAAACGACATATTTAACAAGCAGAAATGCTTCGTTCCTCGCTGACAAGTAATAACTTTCTTTATGTTCTTAACTAAATTGGAAACACAGCAGTAACGGCAACGTTTATGAATCGATTATGGCAGCACCTCGAATATTCAAATATTAAAATAAAACGTAAATATCTTAAGATCTACGTAAATCACAGAGGAGAATTTAAACGTTAAATGTTGACTTTTTGATAGCTTCTCAATCAAAATCTACAGTTATCATAAAAAATATTTGTTTCAAAGATTATAAATCTTTATGTTCAAAAAAAGTAAATAAAATAAAATAGTTAATAAACACTCTGTATATACTAATGACTGCCATGTTAAGTCATTTGTAATTATTACCTTGGATTCCAATTTTGCAAATATTACTTTACTCATTCTCCATCACTGAATTCTCTCGCAATAATCGACACTCAACAACCTAAAATTCAATCATCACGACCATCACGTACATACTGCTCTCTAATTTGAATGATTTTCTGTTCATTGCCAGCAAGAAATTCGGAAAACCTGTTCATGTAAATAGAAATACAAAACCAAGCATTCTTTAATAAAAAAAAAGGCAACTATCCAGATAGAATTAATATAAAAATTCGACCAACTCAGAAATATACGTGATAGCTAAACTTTTGAAAACTCGCTAAAAATTTGATATCAATTAAGACTTATTTCTATACCTTCGTTTTGTTTTAGTTTGGCATGTCTTCTAATTTTTTTTTAATTTACACATCCTTTTAGTGGGTGCTACTAATTTAATTATAATCAAAAAATAATATCGTGTGGCTTATGAGGTACCGTAAGACTCGCATCTTGGTCCGCTGCTATTTTGTATATTAATTATTCCCATAAAAAAAGCATTTAAATCACAATTTGAACGAACTTTTTCTGGACGATCTTAAGCGATGTCGGATAATATGAAGCTTCATGCAGCATAAAAGCGATCTGCAAAAAGATCTCAATAGCTTGGGTGAACGGCGTTCTGAATAGATATTAACGACAAAAAAGTGCGGTTATGGTGCTCACGCAAGACCCAGTTAAATTTAAAGGTAAGTAATTATCATATGAATGCCGAAACTGTAAGAGTTGTATTAAATTGAATGAGAGATTTAGGTGTATTTATTATGAGTAAGCTCCAATTTGAAGAACAAATTAATAACATTGTATTTAAAGCAAATAGAACTTTAGATTGTGTAATGAGAGCATATATAAAGATTTAGATAATTGGTAATGGTGTAATCTGGTCTCTTTATTATAGTTCATTAGTAAATTAAAAACAGAGCAGTATAAATTTAAAAAACAAAAGCTTCTTGACTTCTACCTCTAATCAACTTAAGGGATTGAAACTGCGACCTCATGAAAACAGAACTATTATTCATCAAATCTTGGCCCAATATTGGCTGCTCTATTTTGCATTATTATTGCTCACTAATTCCAAGCCCAATGTTGGCTGCCCAATATGAATTAATATTTTGGGTTAGTATTGTTCACCGAGTCTTGGTTCAATATTGGCTGTCCATTCGTCGACCAAGCTTGCAAATCAGATTTCGACCGAAGTGATAAACCATGTTTGGTTCAAATTATTTGCAAATCTCCGACCAGAAGTTAACGAATTTGGGCTAAGCTTGGATCAGTCTTGATTGGATGATTTTTCACATTTAAATATGCATCATCATAAGGTCGTCAGTCCTTAAGAGTAAGACTGGTTGGACACGCACCTCCACTCTTTTCTATGCTAAGCGAATCTTCTCATTTCCCTAAAACTAGAACAACCCACATCCTTAATTTTTTGCGAACAGAAATCTAATCTAAATCTATCTACTCTTAACTCTTGTTTTTTCTTTTAATATGTCTCTGACTAGACCTTCATGTCTGAGAAGGTGTCCAATCAACCTATCTCGCCTATTTCTTATTGACTTCCATAGTGTCCTCTGTTCTGTTATTCTTTCTAATACTTCTTTATTTCTAACCTTCTCTATCCACGGTATCCTCATCATTCGCCGATAACACCACATTTCGAACGCTTCTGACTTTTTCTTTTCCGCCGCGCCCACCCTCCATGTTTCGCACCCGTACAGCACCACGCTCCAAACATACACCTTTAACAATTTTTTTCGAATTTCTAAATTATACTTCATTTACTTTCTCTAGCGATGTGCTTCTTCAATGCGCTGGCAAAATCGTAGGTAGGCAGAAAAAAGCTCATTATACTCTTGACTCTTCATTAAACATACCTTTTTATACAGTACCTGCCAAAAGTTTTGTTCAATCATAAATAGTAGTGCAAGTCGAAAACAAGCGTTAAAGCCTTTAATATGTCTTCGAATATAAATAAACATCTCGTTGATATTTTCAGTAGTAAATGGTACCAATAACAGTACATTTGAGTAATGCAATTGTAGTGGATAAAATGGTCAATTTTTCCGTGCAGTACTGTACGGATTATACGCTCCTCACCGGTTGAGAGTTTGGCCGAGAGTTATCTCCTTTCTTTTCTGGCCTAGTGCTGTTCTTTTCTACTTAGCGCCGGTCAAACTGAAGGTAACATCGCTACAAAAACTAAACGAAGTATAACTGTTTGCAAGCATAGAAGTGACTTTTTATTGACGGCGACCGGACCCTGCACTAACCTCTGCTTTAAGTACGCTGGTGAATTAGATTTTTTTGGAACTATGCTTAATATTTTCAAAAATCTGGCTAAGAAAACATTGTTAAAATAAATTCTTACGAGATTTACTTGCATTTAATCTATTGTTTTGAATGGAAAATGCCGCTGGGTATAAATTAAATTATATTCCGCTTGATCTGTGCTTTCGAAAGGACTTGGACTTAGCATGACTTTATTTACCTTAATGACTTGCAGAAGTCTTCATTTTACATCAGATATACCAATACTTCCCTTAAAAAGGAAACTTTACTGCTAATGCACGTGTGCATATAGCGCCTGTCAGCAAATTATTGGCTGACGTTATTGGATAACGTTTCCAATATCTAAGCAAGAAACTTCATTTGTTGCTACCGCAATTAAGTTCTTTGTTAAGGACAAATAAGTTCTTTTTCACTTTTGCTGCATTCTAAAAGAAGTAAACTTACCTTCTTGTATTACTGCCGGCAGCTTCCGCGAATTGCAATTACGTAACTATTAGCGCCGTAACCACCGCTTGCTTTAAAAGGTGTTGATCCAGTGTGCCAGTTGCATGATTTACTGAGGTTCAAGAAAAACAGAGGACACATTTCCTGCGAAATACGTTCGTATGGTTTTTGTTACAAGCACCACTACTACTTCTTACAAGAACGAGCCGCTAATGTTCATCACGACCCTGAAAACAAAGAAAACATCACATATTATACATGTATAAATAAATACCTATGGAAATACTTTATTTAAAAAATTTGGTTTTACCGCGTTTAATTATAATTCATAGAACCGCAACATTTGCTCTTCATATGCGGATGACCGTTGAAGAAAAAAATTAATTAATGTTTTAGTCTCGATTACTTATTTGAGATCTACCCCCGTCGATGCGAAACAGTTGCCTCATCAATGACAAAGTACGCCAGTGCCAGCAATAGAAGTAGGGAAAGCAGAAAAAAAATAATAATTATGCATATTTAGCATTAAAAAACTTTAAAGAATAATATGGCGCCAGGTATAGATGGGATACAGGCGGCAATTTACGAGACGAGGAAGGTCCCAGAGGAACGTGGTAGTTACTATACCTAAAAAGAGAGATGCGGATAGGTGCGAGGCATTTAGAAGAATTAGCTTAACTTCCCACGCGTCAAAAATCTTAACTAGAATTGTATAAAGGAAGATGGAAAAAAACGGCGGAAGGACTATTAGGGGAAGATCAATTTGGGTTCAGAAGAAGTAGAGAAACGCAGGAGACCATTCTAGCTTTACGGGTAACAATAGAGAAAACGATAGAAAAAGGAAAGAGTGCATATATAGGATTCGTAGATTCAGAAAAAGCTTTTGAAAACGTTAAATACGATAAATATACTTAAAAATGTAGGGATGAGTTACAGAGATAGAAGAGTGATGTTTAGTTTATATAAAGAGTAACAGGAAGTTATAAAGCTGGGGCTTTAGAGAAGTAAATATTAGGAAAGGAAGTCAAGCAGGGGTGCACAGTGTCACCCCTACTTTTTAATCTACACATCGAATACGCGATCAACATTATTAATGCTTATTAATTATTTATTTATTAAAATAACTTGTAACCAAAATTTCATTTCATAGTTGTTTCTTATTGCAATAACTACAAACCTACGATTAAATTACTATGCACTGTTCTGATTAATGGCGGATTTAAGAAATACGGCCGATCGGCAATTTTTCAAGAGGGTCTGATTTTGTGATATAATAAAAGAAGTTATATATTCCAGAAATTGTTTATTCAAACAATCGAAACATCTAATTCTGAATTCTCGTCTTTGTCTTTCGTGTATCTATCCGTGTAAAGGATAGAAACAATATAAAATGTGTTTTTAACTAAATTTTTTGCGCGCTCTTACAATTTATGTCCAAAAATTCGTAGTAGCTCTGTGGCGAAATAACTCGTTTTTTTGTGTGTAAATATTTTTTCTAATTTTATTTCATTTCAAATAATATTTCATATCACCAGACAGTCTCTCGTCTACCGCTACTACCACCATTCGTAAGTGCTTCTATTATTCTATTGTTATTCGCTACATTGTTTTCATTTTTGTTGTTGTCTTTGTCATTGTTACTGTTTTGTTATCTTGTTCTTTTTGTCACTTTGTTCTCATATGTCTGTTGCATTTTTCCTGTGCCTTTTTGTTATTAGTGTTTTCTTGGTACTTAAATAAAGCAGTAAAGCTCGTTCGATGTTTTTCTTGTGTTTCTTATCGCGAATCGGCAGATCTCATTATCTTGATTTTTCGTTTTCTAATTCACTAATAATTACGTACTTATGATTAAAGTGGCTGTTGAATAAGGCCCTAGAGCCTCTCTGTTCTCAGAGGAGTCAGTTGGCAATGTCCTTTTTGCCACCCGCTAAATCCGCTACTAGTTTTCATATACATACATATGTGTTACTTTTCTTTATTCCTAGCTTCTATCATATTTTCTGCAGGAATGAAATGAACATTCTGAAACTCGTTTAAAGGGGATCATCCGCGGCCTGTTATACAAACAAAACTTTATCTTAAATCCCCTTTGTTTGAATTTTTCTTATCGAATTTGAATATTCATTTTCATATATTTTCCTTAAAAGTAACTCGTAGCTTTTCGTATTTTTGAAACGACTGTTGTGTTGTTTAAATTTAATCAGAAGCATTGATTACTCATTCCTTGAAGATTCCAATTTCATCAACTCGAATAATAGTCCTATCCGATACTCAGATTTTTTCAAGTTTTTGTCGAAATAAAAATAGATCCACATCCAACGCCAAGCAGAATTAAATAGAAACATGAATCTAGAGGTTTCGGTAGTTTTCGTGATTATTGTACAATTCCACCATAAAGAATTTCTTTTGCCTAATAACCAAGACTTTTAATGTTACATTTTATCTTACTGCTCATCCTTCTTGTTGGGTATCGAACGTTTACTTTTTGCTACCCTAACCATTAATTAGTTTCACTAGGGAATCTATCACGGTCCCTCATTAACAAATTTAATTTTGCATGTTTTTACTGGTTTTGGCTAAAATTCTTAAAGAACAATCGAAGCAATATACGTAATTAGGTTTAGATTTAAGACTAATTTAGTCTCTTACTGAGGATGACACCTTGGGTGTCGAAACGTATTTTACGTTTCTAAACGTTTTATGGAATTTTAGGTTTTAAATGTTTATTTCGTTATCATAGATAGCTTCATCACAATTAGTTAGTAATCTTTTTAAACTCCTCTTGCACAAATCACATTACGTTCACCATGCCCTCAATATAAATGCACCTAATTAAAATACGATGCATGTTAACTACTTGTATAATATCTAAACCAAGACATGGTTAAAATTAGATTTTAAATAGGTAATATCTAATAAAAATTTATTGCGCTAATTTCTTCTTTCAATATGGCTCTATGAATAAACATTTGATGTTTATTTGCAACTTACAGCGCCAACGGTTCGACGAACTACCTAAATTAAAATTAGAATTGTCCCATTAATACAGTTTATAAATATCTACAATGCAATACAACCATGCAATAAATACAGATATTATTTTATACGTATCTGCAGGTGTCAATATTACATAATACCTCATTTCTGCAAACACTTAATGCAACATCGTATCTAATAAAAAAATTAAAAATTACGAGTATTTACAACAAATATTATGCAACAGGTTGACGGTCCCCGATAGACTAAAATACCATATGGTCGATTATTAATAAAATAACGGAATTATCCTTAACGTTTCGAAGGCACTTCTTTCTTTAAATGTTTGGAGACAAATGTCGATGAATTTCGGAGAAATTACAATGTAAAAAAAGCAAATTTTGCACAAAAACAGTAAATTTACTAATTCTACACGACATTCATTTGGCAGATTTAATTCGGTGGGACTGTTAAAAATTATTAGTACAATATGAAAAATCCAATCAAAAAAGACAAAACATAACCATTTTTAAAACCATCAATAATCATCATCATAAGGTCGTCAGACCTAAGACTGGTTGGACACACACCTCTACTATTTCTTATCCTGCGCTAATCTTTGCATTTCCCTAAAACTAGAACAACCCACATCCTTAACTATTTGCGAACAGTAATCTAATCTAGGTCTACCTCTACCCCTCCTAACTCCCGTTTCTGCCTCTAATATGTCTCTGACTAGACCTTCATGCCTGAGAAGGTGTCCT